TCTGCTCCTATGATGCTGCTTGGCCTGCTGTGTTCATCCAGCTCTGCACCTTGTTGTCTCAATGTTCCCTACAACATCTCTTTATGTCTCAGTGTAACTCAGAAACTTCCTGAAGATAATATTTGGTGTGCTGTTACTAGTTTGTAATCTGTCTGTATCAGTAAAAGCTTTAGTTCTGGGAGGTCCCCACTGTTTAAACTCTCGCTATTTATGGTATTTACCATTCAACTATCTTGTGGCAATGAATCTGATTTTTTAAAAAATAGATCATAAAATTACTAAGTTGATAAACCTCCGTAGTTGCTTTAATTTTCAATAAATTCTAAAATTTTCCTGGAAAAATTTACAGTAGACAAATGGATTTTGACGTTGTGTAAATATATCACTTGGCTGCTTTTTTAAAAGACTGAACCTAACCCGTGAGGTATTCAAGCACAGAGAAGAATTGTTTTGACAGGGAAACCACCAGCTAAGGATGATGGGTCTTCTTTTCCTTACTGACAACAATAAACTACTGAAGGCAATTCGCTCTGTTGGCCAGTTGTTTAAATTGGGCGATTTGGAATTCCAAATGAAATGTGTATTTACCTGAAATCATTCCATTTAATTCCCAATTCTACAAAACACAGATGGGATTCATGATACGCCTCAATATAGTGCAGAGCTGGAGGAACACAGCAGGTCAGGCAGCATCAGAGGAGCAGGAAAGTCAACGTTTACTCAGTTCTTTACACAATGTTATTAGGAAAATGCAAGGAATGTTGGCCTTGCCAATGATAACCACATTCCATGAATGATTAAAAATTCACAAGCTTCACACTATTATATAGTACCACTATCTGAAGTAGAATTAAAATTCAGCTTTTCCATTTTATCAAGGCATGAATCTTGATATCCCAAGGAACAGAACTGATGTAGCCAATTGTTATAGTTAATTCGTAACTGTAACCTATAGCACATGGACTGCAGTGGTTCAAGAAAGCAGCTCACCACCAACTCCTTAAGGGCAACCAGGGATGAGCAATAAATGTTGACCAGGCAGTGACATGTTCGGCGAGTGATTAAAAAAAGTAAGGTTACCATAGGTAATGAAAGCAAGTAAAAAGTCATCAATTAGTTATTTGTGGGTTATCTTAGCTCTTGGCTAAATGGATGCCCTACAACTTGCAAATATTGTCTTATACTGGCACTATAAAGTTTGATTGTCATTTAGATAAATGATGGCTGCAGTTCAACTCAGTTTCATTAATGTTGAAATGTAAACCAGAGCCAGGATCCAACCTCAACTGGATGATGGAAAGAAATGGTGAAAGAGATGCTGAGCTTTTCCAGCAACTTTATTTTTGTTCTTGATTTACAGCGTCCGCAGTTCTTTCGGTTTTTACTCTTGAAGAGATAACTGCAATGTCAAACTAGATTTAAACAAAGTGCTCAATGAGTCTTTCGTTATTTCATCTTGAAGATCACACAAGTGCTGAATAGGCTGGCATCAAGAAAACGCCAGATTTTACATTTGAAACTTTATTCTGTGGATTTGTGAATATATCGTGTGTGTCAGCAGTTTGTCATGTACCGTTCTCACTGACTATTCAATTTTCCCCATTGGGCCCATTTAATAACAACTAGGTGCAGCATAAGCAGATTGTACCTTTCTATACTTGTTCTCACACCAGAAAGTCAGAGACCAGCTGTACTGACCAAGAATGGGAGTTGCAATTGGAACAATAATAGGCATAGTGCACAGTCATACAGATAAGTGGTTACAAACACTACTCCTTAAAAGAAATTCCTTTAAGACTTATGGAGTAGACAGGAATATGGTTTTGAAGTCACAAATCAGATCAGCCACAATCTTATCGAGTGGCAGAGGTGGTCTGACGCACCAAACGGCCAACTGCCTTATTTGTACATTCGCATGTAAAAATGGGATTGAAAAGTACTAAGATTCAAAGCACAACCCTAGAATTGGATCCTGCTTCCTGCGATTATAAAAACAAGTTGCTAGGGGAAGTTACTCCATATAAAAAGCTAAATGCCAATTCATCACCTTGCTTCCTGACTCACTATAAAACCTCTTGACTAATTGCTGCCAACAACCTCTAACAGAAAACAGCCTGAGCATCAGCTAACATTGTTAGCTTCATCAGGCAGCAGTGAACCACAGGCAAAAGCAACAATGCAAGCAGGACACCATCTTAGATTAGGTAACGCTGCGGTCAATTAATTTTCCATACCATCAAAGCCTTGTTTTAATCGACAAACTTTAGAAAAACAGAAGCTACATATCTTTCAAACTGTTTTGTAGAAGTTAGTCCTACAATGCATTACAGTTGTGGGATTACGGTCCAATCGAAGTGAGTTAAATGCAAGTCAACTGTGGCATTTGTACGTTATGTTGCAATCTCCATAGTTTCAACCCAATCTTGACGTGCTGGAAGTTCCATCAGTGACCAACCAGAGCTATTCAACAGTGAATCATTGCAGCATTGCACTCCTCCCACATAGATTCTTAAAGACAGATCATAATGAGAATCAAATTTAAAACAGCCCGTACATGCGTAACACAGATTTTCTTGTTCCTGACAACCTCCATGTGGAGGGTGAAGTTTGCACTTTTGATCTGATGAGCCCAGTGCTTGCATTGTGAATCCCGAGATCAGCTGTGATCACACTGAGCGGCAGAGCAAGAGGCACGGCTTAGTCCTGCTTTTCATGACAAGGGAACATGGCTTGTACATATCTGACACCGACTCAAGAAAAGAGACGCTTAACGCTTCTGAAAAAGAAACTCAAGTATTGCCTTCACAAAAGAAGCTGGCATAAGCAAAACAATGGAGAGGCAGCCTTCCTCCAGTTCCTAAACTGGAGGTTGGGACTCAAGCCAGCAGTGACAACTGCTGGGCACAGCTTGTTAGCATTTAATAGCTCAAGTTATTTTTATACAAATGTCCATTTAATAGGAAAGATCCAATAAGGAGCCCGGGAAGGACTTGTAACAGTCATCAGCGTCTGCTCCAGGCAGACGGATCTAGAAAGCGGTTTTGTTGACAAACTAGATGCCCAGCATCAATAGATGTGGAGCTGGGAAAGAACAGCAGGTCAGACAGCATCCGAGGAGCGGGGAGGTCAACGTTTCGGGCCGAAACCCTTCCTGGAGGGTTAGTGAAAATGAAAAACAAGTGGGGATTGGGAAGAGAGAAATGGAACTGTCCGGGTTCCACTGTGGTAACACCAAGAGAGAGAGACAGAGAGAGAGAGCGAGGAGGGGAAAAAAATACACTGAAAGCTAAAGCCAGCGATTTTTTTTTGATTCAGGCGTCACTCCCACTTCAATTGTAACGCAAACGGAAAAAAATGCGCAATGTTGCTGAGACAATATCTCACAAAAAAGAAGAGGGGGGAGAAGCTGCACAACAGGCCGCATTGGCAGAGATTTAAAGATGTTAGATCTGGAGTTGGGACTAACAAGAGAGGGAGGATACCTCGTTGGAGTGCTCCAGGTTATTTGAGTCACTGCACAGTTGCTATGCGAACCGCAAGCGAATCATTGTAAGAAGATTAACGAAACTTTACGCCTGACGGATTCTTGCTTTAAAACAAAAACACAGGTTTTCTTCAGAAGGAATTGAACAAAGACACATATTTTCGTTTTTAAAAAAATAATAAAGTTTCTTAAACAAAGTTGGTTATCATTCTTGCTATTCTCTGCCCCCCCCCCCCCCCCCCCCCAAGTAAACCCCTTAGGAGGATGTATGACAATTTCACAGGGACCTACCCGTGGCTGCGGTGCTGCTGGTATCGTTTTGAGCTGCAATGTAGTAGATAAGCGAAAGGAGGCAAGTCAATGTTACGCTGTGTATCAACGCCATCCTGGCTACAAATTCAGCCTTGAGAGCAGGGGAGTAGGGAATGGGGTTGGGGGGGGGGGGGGGGGGGGGGGGAGGTGGTGGCCGGTGGCTCGATGTGAGAATGAAATAAATGTCGCGGGCTCCGAGCGACAGTGCTGCTGTTCTCAGGCTCTCTTCTCCCTTAAAGACCCCCACGAAAAGCCGAACGGGCCTCGCTCCCAGTCAGTCAGTCATCCGCACTCCCTGCGTGTACTGTACCGCACAGGTGTTGAGCAAAACTCCCAGATCTGGTCACTTTCAACAGATGTAGCGGTTTCACAGCAGCAACAGCGCTTCAGACTCCACCCTCTCGCCGGCCTTAAAGGCGTACCGTCTGCAAAAACCCACTCAGCTCCTGCCCCTGGGGCGAGATGACTCAAATTGACAAGAATAAATGACAACACACAGCCAGTGTTTCCGTGTGTGTGTCAGTATCCCAAAAGCTGACCTTATTTGCAGACTTCGCCTCGCATGCACTGAGGTAGTTACAACCAGCATCTCAGACGGTACAGGATTTCTAACATTTCAGCCCGTGAACGAGAAACTTTGCAATCAAATGCCACTTTTGCAGCCAACCAGCGTGCATCACAACGCGTGGACTGTATTAAAACATACAGAAAGTGCTGGAGAAACTCAGCAGGTGCGCTGGCATCTGTGGAGGGAGAAACGGGGTTAACAACTGCGCCTGAAGCACCGTCAATTTGATCAAAGACCCCTCTTTGGTCTGCCTGAAACTTGTGGCTCATTCCAAGGTCCTGGACTAGTGCTAAGGGACACGCTAAAGTTTGGGGAAACCCTAAGGTACAGCGGGGAAAGCGGGCTTTCTGCCATAAGGTACCAAGGGGCTATTAAGTAATAGGAGCAAATTACTACAGATGCTGGAATCTGTGCTGAAAATAAAAGAAACGCTAGAAATCACAGTGGGTCAGGCAGCATCTGTGGAGAGAGAGCAAGCTGACGTTTCGCGTCCAGATGACTCTTCGTCATAGCTGTTAAGTAATAGAACCCCTTGTATTGGAGTGGAGATAATTTCTGCTCAAATTTGGCAAATGTTCCAATTCTGCATTTGGATGGAGGAACTGAAAAGTGCAATGCTCAAATTGAACAGCTTTGTTATCTACTTTTTATAAATAAAGCATATTTTTGCAAATTGGAAGGAACAGAGTTAATGTTTCAAGTCCCATATGACTTTTCTTCATTTGAAAATGCTGCCAGACCTGCTGAGTTCTCCTGCACTTTCTTGTTTATATTCCAGGTCTCCAGCATCCTCTGTACTTTGCCTTTTCATGGACCATATATTTGTGTCCAGCTGTATTATATGAAATAACTTCTAGCTGCTTCAAGCTGTTTGTCTGACATTGTGAATTTAGGTGGTGTGTTGATTCAAAAATGTAGGTTTCAGCAAGTTTCAGTTTGCATTTGGCAAGACTGATTTAGAAATAACTGGTCCCAACTTGGAATTGGTGAAGATGGAAAATTCTTGCTTTCAGATCATGATCTAGTTTCCTGCTGGAAGAAGCACGTGGATAAGCATTATATTAAAAGACAGAAGGACTTTCAAGGCTGAAAAGTACTTTAGGAAACACAGCAGCCAATTTACATGCAACTAGCTCCCACAAACAGCAACATAATGATGGCTAGGTAATCTACTTGAAGAATGAATACTGGCCAAGCTACCGGGGATAACTCAGTAGGTCATCTTCAAATAGTGCCAATTCACTTGAGAGTGTTCTTTTCAGCTAGGGAAGTTGGTAGGGGCAAGGGAATGGGATACTCAGTTTAAACGACACATCCAAGTAGCAGCACCCTCTGGCAGTACAGCACTCCCTCTCTCAGTCTAGATTTTCAAGTCTATGGAGGTGGCTTTGAACCTACAATCTCACAGGCACTTAGTCAAGAATACTGCTCACTGGGCTGTGAATGAGACTGAGAAATTACGGAGCTCATCTGTGATGTGCACATGATTAAAACAAAAGCCGACTCATAGTCAGTCTTGAATGAAGTACTAGACGATGAGTGAGCCTTGTGGAACCACTTCCTCTGGTCTGAGGGGAGAAGCTGGGCATGGTGTGAGGGGAATACTTATACATTTATTCACAACTGGTTTATGTTGAAAATTTTTGAAATTCACAAAATATGGAATATTATTTTCTATTTACAAGACAAAGTATGTATTTAGAATTACCTGAAGCACCTTACTCTATGAAGTAGAGTGAGCCCACATGAAGCTTAAGACATGTACACATTTGTACACAAAATAGTCAGGTCTATTAAAGTGATACTATATATAGTGAATTGTTCCAATTTTCCAGTTAGCCAAGGAGTTTCACAGTGAGGGAGAATTAATAAACTCTCATAGCAAATTAATAACTAACAGGGTCATTATTCTTTGAACAGGTTCTTTTCTACTTGCTGTCAGTCTGAGCATTTTTTTTTACACAATCCTCCTTCAAGGCTTAACCTATCAATATCTATAAACAGTATGTGAATTTAATGATAAAATATCACCCACTTCATACTATCAGCAATTAATTATTTATGATTATTTAATATTTTCCATTAAATATGCTTAGTAGTTATAACAGGACTCCAAAAGATTTAATGAAACTTTGCACTTGTCAAAACCATGCATACATCTAAGGATATCCCTTGGTTTATGCTGAGTCTATTGTAATCCAAATTAAACAGTACCCATGTCATACATATCCCATTTTCCCAAGCAAGGTTTTATAGCTTGTGCTGAGCTCAGATGGGTGCATGTGAATGTATGAGTGTGGCTGGGAAGGTGAGTACATGATTGACAGAGTGCAGTCCATATCTATCTATTTGAAAGGGGTGGATGGAACATAATGGCAAGAGACTAGTGAAGTTGTTGAGGAATTTCAGGATCAAAACATTTAAAAGATGATAGAATGGAATCCTTTTAGTTTAAGGTAAATTATGTCATCTTTGTTCAGTGCTAGCATGCTTACCTCTGAATCAAAAGGTTCTTGGTGCAGGACTTGAGATAGACTGAGTCTCCAGTGCAGTACAGAGGGGATGCTGCACTATTGCAAACAGTTTCAAATGAGGGGAATGGTCCAAAATACATCTACGTGGCCTCCAAGGATTTGGATCTCAACCTCAGCCTGTGCCTCAAGTGGAATGTACATGTGCCAAACCTTTAGGAGGGCTTGGCCCAAAGGCTTGAAGTAATATCTCCAGACATTAAGTTACTGCCCTTGTCTTACCTATTTACTTCAGCCCCACTCAACCATATGAAATTCTGCCTTAAGGTCAAAGTTGAGCATAATCTTGCTCTTTTTGCAACCTGTACAACGGACATCCACTGAACATCCTACAGGAATGCAGCCTTAATTCCAAACCCCTTCACTATCAGGATTACAACCAGACAACATATTTTTGAGAGGATGCAGTTATGCACGCTCACTTGAATGGAAGTGATGCCAAGATCAGGTTAAGCTGTAGTATTAGTCAGGCAGACTGGGCTGAGGCCTCCCCATGACCAGGAAAAGATAAACACCTCTAAAGTCTGGAGGTTTATTTCCTTTTTTTATTTTCAGCCAGCAAAACTCCAACACTCCAACTGTGCTCAGGGAAATCTTCACCAAGAACTATTATGTACAAAAACCACTGTAAAACAAGTTACTCATTCTTCCTAGTGGTGACCATACAGTTTGTTAATGGTTTTGGTTAAACTAGTTAACACAACGACTATCAGCTCAAATTCTAAATAATGGTGTAAGATTATATTACTAAGTATCTTTGTTAAAGAATTGTAAATTTATAATAGCTTTATTTATTAATAATAACCTCATGTAAATTTGAAACTCTTTCATTCCTAATATGGGTTCTGTGAAGATACTTTGAGAATTATGCCTTTCTCCATTTCTCTTCTGATGACTCGGACTCTTGCTAATACAGGGTTCCATGGGGTAATTTAAGTTTTCATGATATTGGGTAGGAATTTCAACTAACATTCCTTGGCACTGTTCCCTATTAGAGAAGAAATTTGCGTGAGGTATTTAACAATTGAGTATCACCCACGTCATTCTATTGGTATAAGTTGAAATGTTGTCCACGTCGCTTCTAGTTTCTGTCTAGTATTTTGTCGAAGTGGCTATTCTTTACCTACAAATCAATACTGTAAGTTCACAAGCTAGTCAGAGTGATGCAACCTCACCAGCCAATCTTTTTTATTGTTATCATACACACAGTGGAGACCTTGCTGGCAAGGTCCCCATTTATTGCCCATCCCAAATGGACTTTGAGAAGATGGTAGTGAGACATTCTTTTGAACCATTACAGTGCACGTGATAAAGGTACATCCAGAGGGCTACAAATTCTGCTTCTTCATGCTAAATACACAGTGAGTTTAGTGTGCAATGATTAAGTATAGAACCTCGGACTAATGTTTCCCCTTCCTATGTAGAACTCCAAAAAATTTCCTGCCTCCACATTCAATCTAAGGTTTCTAATTTAATAAAAAGCATTATGCATTTCATAATAACACAAAAACCAGAACATAGAACAGAGAAGAAGGCACATTCTTTGTGTGCTGTAAAAGGATTTCTACATTTCATTACAAAGCTGGTTAATGAACTTGAATTGCTTTATTCAAATAAAGTTCCACATATTCAAACGATTGTCAAATTTTTGATCTTACGTCAGTAAGACAGCATACCTGCTGCTTGTAAGTCTCACTCCATTTAAGTGTCGTGAAACAGCAAAACATAAGTGAACTGCGTGTAAAGGTTTCTGACGTAGTTTGAAGGTCATTTCATTTTTTAAATCAAAAAGGCACTGATCCTTGATTAACTGTCACTATATTTTATTGATAGAAAATGTAAACATCACAACGCACATTCATTGGTTACAGTTGTGTTAACGGCAAGGTAAGAAAAAAGACTGGAATGGGAAAGTATGAGACAGAACAAGGAGGAGCATTGAGAAGACTAGGAAGAAAGAAGAGAGGAGAGGAGTTGTAGATGTATCCTCACAAACCTAAGGTGGA